GTGAGGAAATTGTTTCATATTACATAGCAGTTCAGCACCCTTTTCTTTTAACAAAATTTTCTTGTTTCTTAATACTGTTTAGTATTTGGATGGCATTTTCTACTGTTACAATACAACTACCCATATAGAATAATAATATGTTATATATGCATCAACACTTCTGTCTAGGATCAAAGCATCACTCCTGGGTACTTCTGCTTTGGATCAGTGTATGCTTTGAAAAGTGTTACAAACAAAACTATGATTATAAAATAAAAATTAATTTAGTGATTCCATTCTGGGTATGACAATAAATTACATCCGCGTCCTGGGTAAGACAATAAACTACATCCAATAGCAAGGCCTCTGATCAGGAGGTTTTGAAGAGTGTGAAACCACCTCTTAATTCTATATAATTGAAATTGCAGTAGCCTGGCTCTTAATTTCAGTCAAGATTGTTTTAGATGTTGCCATAGAAGGATATGACTACACAAACAAGAAATTCAAATTCACCTTGCATGACTCGGGGTGGTAGCACCTGTTAGGGGGTCCCAACTATGGGTAAATAGTTGGGCCCCAAACTTGGGTTAAAACACTATGTAAGTGTAAAAATAGGTTTTAATACCAGAAATACTTTATTTATTAAAGACATTTTTTATGTTTAACGTTGTTATTTATAGATACAACGTTAAACATAAAAAATGTCTTTAATAAATAAATTGTCGGACCTTGTCCATTTCAGAAATACTTTGTAAAAAAAAAAATTATTACCAGCTATACATTTTTGAAGAAAAAATATTACCAGAAATAAAAATTTTGTCAGCATTAAATAACCCATTGAGGTTGATATGCCATAAAACAAAACAAACCAATTTAGTGATTAATAATAAATCCTCAATATAAGATGAATATTATTTATTTACAGATTCACTTGCCCTCTTGGATATTGTATCTCTGAAAATCAAAACATTATGTATATGACAGACTTTGCCGTCAATTTTGACGTATGAGGATATGACAACCTCCTTCAGTGATTTATGTTTGTGTCTTATGTGACCCTTCAGTCCTGCTAGTGACCTGCATACAAGTCCATATATTGTGCAACAGCAAGGATCTTAGGACATAGCCATGGGAATATTTACCGACATTTTTCAACATGGTCTTTCCTCTCTTAGCTGATCAATATAACGGATTTCAAAATTTCTAAATACACTGTGGCACAAATATCTCCAATTATTTCTATTGCTCAAAGTTAGTATGAGGCACATTGACACCTGAGAGGGTTACACTTTAGCTTGTCTTTATACTTTAGTCATGACCATCCAAGAGTCCACTGCCAAGCTGGCTATACACGAGGACCTTAGGTATTCTATTTTCACTCATCCTAGCAACATGACCAGCCCTATATAAATATATCTTCAGCAAACATGTACAAACGTACCCACAATAAGATGTATTGTCAAAAGGATGTTTTTTTCCATGACATTGCTTTTTTTTAACTACCTTCGGCAATGTTTATAGTTTTAAAAAGTAATATTTAGAATTGTACTAAAGTTTAAACACATGAAAGTGAATTTATACATTCTTTGTTCTTGAGAACTGACAACAAAAATAAGAAACACTATTTATTATATTGTTTATGTACATTATTTATTTACAATGTTTATTGAAATGGTTGGCAAAACATCGGTTAACTGCCAATTGATTCAAAATGGTAAATAATAAAGATATCTTTATAGTCCATTCACATATTTTTTATAAGTTAGTAAATGTTTACAAAAACTTTATAAATGATAAATATTTCATTTAGAACAATTGTATTAGTTTTTAGAATGCTGTAAATATAAAATTATTCTTGTAAATAAACAATCGAATAAATACATAAACAAAGTGTAATATTTTTGTTGCAAATTTAAAAAAAAAAAAAAATGTATAAATTCACTTTCATCGTATGTTTAGATTTCATTACAATTCTAATCATTGCTTTTTTAAAAAAAAATGTGTGGCTTTGTTACTGCATGCTTTGCTAAATGCCACTCTTACTTTGGTCCATTTCTGCATCCACACATTGTTTTAGTATTCGCAGTAATATGGGCAAAAAACTATTGAAGATCAGGCTTGTCATCTCAATGTCCTGGTTATGTGCGTTACTGGTAAACTTATTTAACACAACAACTCTCATTAACAAGTGTAAAAATAACAACTTTTATTTATGGTACTATGATTAATTAAGATCATGAATGCATAAAGATTTGAAAAAGTTTCCCCATAAGGAATACTTGAGTTGGGAGGAAGAGGATGACTGATAGTTGCAGTCATGGCTAAACAGCCCAGAGTCATTCAACTATTTAAATGTAAGCAGCTGATCGAGGGAGTTCAAAAAGAGCATCAAGAACAGATCTTTAGTGGATTGAGGCACCATGGTCATTTGGCAGTGAGTGTTGGTCTACTAGCGGCAAGACCAAGTTGATCTTTTGGCAACTGCTTTTATGGGGGTGCAAAACCTTATTGCAGTACTCTGATTGGCTAGTCAATAATAATGCTTGACTCATGGTCTTGAGTCATATGCATCAAAGGGGAGGAAGGAAAGCCCCCAAGAACCCAATATAATTGGTGGTCCAATCAAAATAATGGCCCTATGTTGTAAGTATTGGAGGAGATAACAAGAAGCTCCATCCCAGCCGCTCTCATATTGGCAGGCCAATCAAAATTGTGGCCTTTTATCTCTCATATCCACCTTCAGTGGAACATTTTCCATGTTCTGGAATCTCATCCTTATTTGGCCTGATTATCACAGGTGTTATCAGAATCTCCATCTGACAGCATGTCATATCCCTGATCAAAACAAACCTGACCTGTAAAGATTTACTTTGTGTCACACATTTCAATAAATAATTCCTTTATCAAATGAAAACACTAAAGTTCAACAGACCTAAGACTCTACCTAACGACCAATCCCACCCAATCTCACAATTTCACCTTCCACACTTCCAAAAAGATACAAACTTGAAAATTCATGATAATATTTTTCATGATAAAAAATGTGATATTTCCTCAGAAATAAAAATTAGGTTGCTAGTCAACCTTTGACACCAGTCATAAATGCCAAAGAGTGAAGATAGTTAAATAAGCAGTTAAAGTTAAATATAGTTATAGTTAAATAATGGGGAAAACCATCCTTTTGACAGTCTTATTGTGGGCTTGTTTTTGTATATTTTTGCCATATATTCTATATAAGAACTCCAAAATACAATAATACTTTAAATTATATATATTGAGGGAAAACTTTTTAATGACAACACATTTTGCCTCAAGTATTGGCATCTTCAAGTCAGAATGGAAGACAAAACTGTGTGTTTTGCATTAAAGTTGTTAATATCTGTTAGACTGGTGTCTTCTGGTTGGAATGAAAGAACAAGACTAGATGTCTTTTTGTTTTTTTTTGTATTAAAGCTGTTAATGCTGTTTTAACTGCTTTAATACAATAAACACAGTTTTGTTTTTCATCTTGACCTGAAGATGAAATGCATTGTTATTAAAATGTTTTTCCACTTAGTCTCATTTCTCCACTTTTGTTTTATATCCTACTAATACACACAGACATATATATAAGACTTTGAAGCTATTTATGTTAAAAAAAGCAACAGTAATTAACAAAATTAGTTATAATTTGCGAACATGCAATTTAAAATGTATTTAAATTTTCAATAATGATTTAATGCTATATTCACATGACATCAAACATGCATATTAAAAATAAGTACATGTAACAAATATGTTAAAAAATAAAAATGAAAAACAACAAATGCACCATATTTAAAATAGAGATACAAATTAATGACAGGGCTTTAATTCTTGACAATGACTGAAGTTGAAAGCTTAGAATACATGAACAGATATAAACTATAAACAGTTCTTTTGTAATTTCAATCCTAGAAGATAGAAATTAAGCCATTTTTATCATGAAAAAAGACATACTTCAAGAAACATTGGCTTCTTAAATACAACAGTCAAGATTTTAACATTCCATAGCACTTCAAACAGAAAACTCAGAAGAAAACCCCCATCAATACTGAAGAAGGGTGATAAAAGCTACTGGATTTGAGAAACGTGTTTTCCTAAAAAAAAAAGTGTTTTAAGAGAAAGATTTTATTAATTTTAACCAAAAGCAGTACTGGCTGTTTCATCAATGAATGGCAAATGTTTCTTTTGGAGGAGACAGCTAATGTATATATACACACACACTACATATATATATATATATATATATATATATATATATATATATATATATATATATAATATCTGTGTGTGTGTGTGTGTGGATTGCAAGGATCCAGGACCCTTGTCACAGCTGCCACCATTTTCTCAATGACTTCAAGATGACTGATCTTGAGATTCTCCTTCAGCTGGTGAACAGCCAAAAGTCACTGTCAGCAAGGTCTGGATGGTAGGGATAGTGAGCAATAGTTTTGGTGCTCATCTCTGTCAACACAAAAATTTATTGTATAGCAAGATTCCAAATTGTCTTCATGTCCCAACTAGGTTCTGCAAACAAATCAACTGTGACAAGCAGTGCTTTAAAGGCTGAGTAGAAATAAATATTAAAAGACAATCACAAAAAACATTGGGCCAAGTAAAGAGATTTAAATAGACATTGCTATGGGCAAGAAATTAATCAGGGAAGTTCCTTCAGAATGTGGGCAATCATGGCTCTCCACAATTTCCTGTCTCTAGTGGATCTTAGTAAATTTTTTTTGCTATCCCTGTTCTGCTAACCATTTCCACAAGTTCATTAGGTAGGTTTGCAGTATTTTCCTTTGTCTCTCTTGCCTTTAAATGTCCTGTCAGTGTCAAATTTTTTAAGCCCTTTTTCCTCATTATGTACATAGAAATTTCAATTCTTTTTCTAGTGTTAAATAAGTGTCCGTTTTGTTTCCATTTTCTATATTACTTCATTGTTGCTCATGTTCAGTCCATGGCATTTTCAGTATCCTTCTGTAGAACCTCATTTCTGTTACCTGAATTCTCTTCATCTGGGAGGAGATTGTTATTATATATGCCAATCTGTACAAAGAAAATAATAAATTAATAAAGAAAACTAACTTCTGGTCAAAGCAATAGATTGAAAAAAGTACAAATAATTAGATGTATTGCAGTTTGGTCTCATAGCTTTCTCTTTGGAAAAGATAGTAAAAGACAAACATTGCTGAAATCCACAAATGATAAGAAGTTGCAGAGATCACCCATGTCTTGAAGGAACATGGTACAGAGAAGAGATTCTAGACATTGTATAGCAATAAGAAATATGAAAAGGGATGAACGAGCCTTTTAGTTTAAATCAGAATTTATTTTTAATCATTTGTTCTCAAATAAGGTAATAAAGCCACTAAGAGATAAGGGGTTACTGAGTGTGAAAGAATAAGAGAAAAAGGAAAACATTATTAAGAAGGGAGGACAATAAAAGAACAGGAATTAAGAATTGACATTGATCTTCAAAAATTTAAATGCAAAGTTGACTGAAAAGCAAGAAGCCAGAACAGAGTATGACAAACGAGAAGTCTCAGAGAAGAAAATTTTAGCATAGAACTTAGTTACATCTAGCGGCCATTTCAACTGTAAAATGATGAGACCTAGCTGCCAATCTAGTACTGTGCTTAAATTCGTAAAGTCAAGGTACCAAAGAGGAAAGCTCATCAGAACAATTACTATTAAAATATAGAAAAGGAACAAGGAAGTAACATTATGGTGGTGGGAATGAGACTGAAGCTGAGATGCCAGGTCAGGATGAATAACATTGTAGATTCTTCTCTGGATTTTTTCAAGAACCTCTAAATACAGAGCAGAATCACCATACGAGATATGGCAGCAATATTCAATACATGGACAAATGGTAGACATATAAACATGGGAGATAGATTCTGTCAAGAAAAATTGTTTGGCACAATACAGTCAACCAACTTTCTTAGTGACAGACCTAGCAATTGATTCAATATAATTTTTTCATTTTGTAACACTGGCAAATAGAAAGAAATGGGTTAAAATTAAAATATAATTTGGAGCAAGACGAAAAAGGTCAAAGAATGGAATGACAGAGAAAGAATAGAGATTTCTTTTATTTTTAAAAGTCAATTTTTTTTTTTAGCAGGGGTGACTTGAAGAAGGTAACTTTGTTGGAAAGATATTGCCAGAGGCCATCTGATAAAGCTGGGCTGATGATTGATGGCACTGCCTTAAAGTGGAAGTTAAGAAAACAGCTCTTAGGAATCAGTCGGGGGGGAAAAGAAGATGATTGAAGAGATAATATTTGGTAATTTTTAAAAACAAGGCAGAATTAAAAAATTGATTTATTTTGCTTATCAAAAAGTGGAAATTGTAAAGAATTTGAGAATAGAATTTCTTTATGTAAGGACCTGACCCTGGGTTCTTAAAGTGCAATGACCATAACAAGATGGGGAGATAAGCCGATTGGAGGAAACAGCTGGTAAATTTCTGAATGTCTAAACAATACCAAGCTGAGAAAAATTTGCTGACAAGAAATTAAAATGGTAATTCTAATTAATGACCAGAAACTAATTCATGCTATGTGGTTTGATAACCCAATTTGTCAAACAGACAGCCGAGGTGACAGGCGTAGGTGAAATACCAAGGTCAGAGGAATTGCCTATGCCTATTGGGAGGTGTTTGTACGAGACACAAATAAGAGAAGGAAAGAGTTATTGGGGCAGATCGATACCTGTGAATGCTGCCCATAGGAAAAGGGATTTTGCCAAATTTGGAGATATAATTAATTTTCCAGATACAGACAACAAAGGGCTCCTTTTGGAAGATGGGGGAAACACCATGTCAACCCTCATGCCAGCTTTGGGTGAAAGTCAATACAAGAACACTGAAGCAACCAAGAGAGTTTCAGAATGCAGATGATGAGAGGCGACTACTCTGCTGAATCCCATGTAATTTGCTGCCAGAGAAAATCTCCGACATAAGCCTTGTTCCAGACTTAGCTAAATTGAGCAAAGTGTCACAATAGAATTCAAAGTGGGAATGGTTAAGATTTCTGTACAAAGAACAATATAAAATGCATAGAAATAGACCCTGAAGAAATTCCTCTCTTTTCTTTATTTCATCTGTAAGAATGTTATTTTTCCTTTGTGTTATAGCTTTGCCAGGATCGAACCAGTGTTACAATTGCTGAAAACAACTCGATCTTTGCCAGCTCCATGATCAATCAACACAACACAGATAAGAACGACCCACTCCAATGGCAGAATTGACAGGGGCTGACCAGCAAAAAGTGTTACAACTTCATGTTAGCAGAAAACGTTCACCCAAGAATGCACAATAAGCCATTCACCAGAAGGTTAGCATCAGCCATGATGATGGAAAGCAAAAAATGTTTTCTAAGACAATTAAAAGCGAACAGTTTTGTTTTGGAGGCCTTAAAGCAATTTCTTGCCCCAGTTAACAGATTGTAGGTCATCTCTGAGATTAGCTGCCAATTTCATCATATTGAACTGATCAGACTCACCATTAAGACAGGAGTAAATAGTTGTGTCATTAGCACAGATACAGAGTAGGTAGTGCTTAAAACATGTTGACTCCAATGAATTGACAAATTTGAAAAATGCATCCTTTCTAAGAAACTTTAAAAAAAATAAAAAATATAATAATATCTTAATCATACCAACCTTTTATAAACATCTTTAGCCAGGGTGGTATTTCTTGGACAGTTCATTGATGAAAGAAGTACTGCCAAGTCTATGATAATACAAGTTTAAAAAAGAAAAAGAGAATTAAAAGTTTTGGGAAATATACAACAGGGAAATTTACCATTTCTACTTTGCTATGCATTTTTTAACCTTAAAGAGTAATAGAGATTGTGTAGGCTGACACCAAACATTCCAATGCTTTACAGCTTGCTGATTAGGAAGTATTATGCAAAGAAAACCTCACTTGGACATACCAAAAGTAGCAGATAAAAAAAGAGGTACAAACTTAATAAATAAGTGGGTGGTGAAATTGTACTCGATCTGACCTTCCCAAAATAAGTAGATCAATGACCAAACATCAGAATAGTGAATTTTTGACCAGGAACTTTTTGGTACCCACCTGTAACACAATGGCAGACAAGATTGAAACAGAGAATATGATGACATTTCTGATAACAAGAGATTAAAAAAGGTCAAAAGTACTTATGGACAAGTTATCAATGATGACTTAATGAGCATTAGATAAGCTGAAAAATTTATTAAAATACTCAAAACTATGCATGTACTGTTTGTATACCAAATGTATAAGGGTTGCTTTGAAGGTAATGTCTTCTATAATCCCTAAAAATTATTTTGGTTATTGATGGGAAGATTCAAATTCTACTACCATGTCACATATTCAGTTTTGCTTTTATTTCAAGACTTATTTCAAATAACCCTATGTTATTTTTAGTTATCCAAATATCAAACATTTAAAATGGCTCGAAGTATTTTTTTTTATCTTTTTGAGGTCACAGAAAATAAAACAAATATTTCATGAGAAAAAAGAAAAAAGTTGTCCTTAGATGGAGCATTTTTTGTGAATTCATTTCAGCTTAGGTAACTGACATAAAAGCAACAAGAGAATAAAAGATAAACTAGTCTGAAATTAATAATAAAAAATAAAATTACCAAATGAGAATAAAAACCCCACTAAATGGAAAAAAAAAAATTTTTAAATCTGGTAACAAATATTTTTTTTTAAATTATTCATATTTACACTATTTATATTATTTGGACTATTGTCTTCATCTTTGTTGCCATATTTGTCACAATGTTTTGGCCGTTGTATGCTTTGGCCTTCTTCAGGTGGTTGGAATGCTAAACTGAACCTTTTATTTCGCTTGCTGGGGTAGACTGTTCTAGTTCCACGTGCCATGTCTAATGGATGTCAGTTATCTCTTGTTAATTCCTCTCTCCAAGTTCTCCACTGCCTTAACACACTGTGCCATGTGTCCTTAAGGACACATGGCACAATGGATAAAGGCGTTGGTTAGATCTAGTGATAGGACCCAAAGAGTGGTTAAGGCAGTGGAGAGATGAATTAACAGGAGATAAGTTATAGCCGACATCCATCAGACATGGCATGTAGAACTAGAACAGTCTACCCCAGCGAGCTAAATAAAGGGTTCAGTTCAACATTCCAACCACCTGAAGAAGGCCAGAGTGTACAACAGCTGAAATGTTGTGATAAACATAGCAACAAAGATGAGGACAATAGCCTGAATAATGTAAATAGTATACATAATACCTCATCTCAGAAATATAGACAGATACTAATATTTACAGATTGCTTTGGGATATGATTTTGAGAACTGTTGAAATGAGAACCCAAAGATAATATTGATGTTCATGTTCTTCCCCTGTCTTTTGTTTAGGATTGGGTTTCCAGTTACTTTTAAAGTTTTTTGATTATCTTTCACTTCCAGTACACCCTCCCGGCGTCCTAGTGGCATTATCACCTTGCTTAGCATGAACTAATTAAAAAAATATCTTAAGAAAAGGGACAAAGCCAATTCATTTGATTTTTTTTGTATGCTCCTGTTTAGAAGCATTGTCAAATATCTTCAGGCTTACCTTTCTGTATTTAAGAAAGTGTCAAAAATATTGCCCCCATCAGACAAATTGTATCTAATAAACTAGTTTGAAACAACAACTAAAAGGTAAATAAAATATACTTTCCAATTAAAAGAATTGCTAAGTAGTTTCTTTTTATTATTTACTAAGTCTGACACAAGGCCACAATAATATGGTAACCAGTGATAACTAAAATTACACTAGCAAATTGGTTTTGCAAGACAAGCTTATTAATCATATGGTAAGCATCCATTTTTAACTATTGATTCATATTCTATTTAATTTACCAAAAATTATTTTAACTGATGTCAACTTTTATTAATTTTAATTTTTTATAGTAATGTTCAACCAATACAAGGCCCAAGAGCCACTCAAGGTAGAGGATTACTGCGTAGTGTTGTATGAGTGTAAGAAAAAGCCAGAAGTAAAGTTCATGGGGTTATGCAGGAAATATAACTTAACCTTAGACCTTAAAAAAGTCAAAATTCTAGTGATTGGGAAAAATATCCTGCTAGTAGTCTGTTCCCCAAAGCAGCAGTTTATGGGAAGAAGCTGTCCAAGTGGAAGTTACTCTATTGGAATATGAAGGGAACAGAGATGATTCACCCTTGTATACATGACATGGTGGGTCCCAGTTGTAAAAGTCAGGGCATGTGTAACACATCAGAACACATGCCATAGAAATAAAGATAGAGTAGTGAGAGGCTTGCAACATTTCATCTGTGAGAAAAAGGGTTGCAGAGTGGAAAATAATTCCTCATTCTCAAGGCCATATAGAGACTTTTGGACTCTATCAAGACAGGCAAGTGAGGACTGGGCAACTCCAACCCACAGATATGGCAGCAATACACCATTTGCAGGTCTGATCCGGGCTCTTGTAAAGATAGAGCATCTAAGGGGGAGTCAGATACATACTGGAGTGGTACAATGAATCAATTATTTTTCAGCACCATACAAAATATACAATTAATACTAATGATTGTTCACCACCCAAAATTAGAATTTCAAGTTAGCAATATCCTAATGACAATTATTTCATTTAAAAGTATGCAGACACAAGTGTGTGGGTATATATAACTGAAATAGATAATCTGCTAATTAAACAGGGATGATAATGATATTGAGAGAGGGCAAAGTATCAAGTATCTTATAATTGTATTTTTTTTCTCTAAGAAAATGTGTCTGATAATAACTGTATCCTACATTATGAATATGTTAGTTATAAAATGTGCCTGTAGTTTGTACATTTGTCATATCTAAAGAACTTATAAAACTTGAAAAAAGTAATACTGTTTACATAGAAAATGTTATAAATTTAAGGTGTAATTAGTGTAACCAGTAATTGTTTAAAGTACCTTTATAATCGAGGCTACTTTAATTTCAGCTAACCAAAGGAAAGTCATAGTAATACTTTATTAAATGTTGATTGATTAGTTCTATAGCATTATAGGTAATTTAATGCCTAAATTTAGGTACCTCCACGAAATTGCAAAAAAAAAAAAAAAAAAAAAAAAGCATAGCTTAATGAAAAAGACGCCAACTTTGCCGAAAACAAAATTTTATCGTCTAAATGCTTATGTTATTATTAAGAGGAAAGACCAAAGTTTTTTTTAAATTATTTTTAAAATTTTTCCTTCTTTTTAGAACATTCTAAATTTTGATTAAAAAAACCTTGTTTCTCTTTGTATCTTTTAGCACGTTTTTTTTTGTATGACACACATTAATTTGGAAAATCTTGCAAAAATAAAAATAATTGTTGGATGTTAATGAAACTATCAGAAACTATTCACAGATGATCGAAATTATTATAAATATTTTTTTTTTTTATTAAAGTCATGGCAGAAATATTTTTTTTTATATATTTATTACCCCCCCCAACTAATCTTATGATAATGCTAGAAATTCGATCACATCGGGTTTAGTGATTACAATAGCACAAGGCTTTAAGGAATGCAAATCCTGTTTTTTTTGTTTTTAATTGGACCCCCCACCCACCTGAAAATCAGCTCTTAATTGTAACATACAAAACTCAATAAAACAAAGATATTATTTAATTTCAAATGCTTTTATTTGCTTTTATGAATATGGACAATATTTTCTGAAAGCAAAAAAATTTTTCAATGAAAATGAATTTTTAATACAATTATTTGTTATTTCTTTAATTATAATAGATTTTTACATTTAAGTTGTTAAAATATTATAAAATTAGTTAAAAGTCGCATCGGGTTTCTTAAGTGTCCTTATGAGATAGATCTGTTTTAGCGCATTGTGAATTGTATCATTTTGACTAATCAGAACATCTGCCGTAATTAAAAAATGTAATTTTGTGTTTATAATCGGGCTGTAATTATAAATTATGAAGACCAACCAGAATACAATTAAGTTGTTTTATTTGAGTTAAGCATTGTTCTCCGCTGTTGAGACCTTTACTTTTGCGAAACATGTGTGGAGAAGTTAATTTGATTTTTCAATTTCAACTGAGAAGGGTACCTACAAGTATCAGTATCATCTTATGAAAGTTATATGATCTTATTTTTATATTAATCTCAGTTATGACATTTTTCCATAAATGAAATATCAAAATTAATAATAAAATGAATGGAAATACAAATAACACAGTAAAATGTAATAAATGTACATAAAATTATAGTATTTTATGTACACTTCTGATAAAATTTCATAAGAAAGGTACCTATAAATTAATTAGATACCTTTCTTATGAAACATGAAATTTAATCTCACTTTTAACAGTCTTATTTTAATTTCTTTATAATATATTTTCCATAAAGCATCATAAACGTAAAGGTGAAAGCTAAGTACAAAAAAAAAAAAAAAATTAGAGCGCTGAAAGTTTACCTTAAAAATAACGAGGTAAATAATTTGTCCACTTAAATGTAAATTATTTCACTTTTCTCCTTCCGTAGAACAAATTATCCTCATGGAATCCGTCAATATGTCATTCATCACCCGTCAAGTGACACGAAAGTTTATGACCTGCTTTGTGTTATTTTCAAATTACATCTTTTCGGCGCAGAAGCTAAGTTAAGCTTGGTTCAAAATATTTTAAATAAACATTATAATTTCTGATTTTCTTAAAATAAGTTTTGAAAAAATGATAATTGATATTTAAAAGAATTTCAAAGTGAGATTTCAGTTTTTTTTATAAAATGGAAAAAAAATGGTCAATTTTGCTGACTCAAAAAAAAAAAAAAAAAAAAAAAGATTTGAATGTGCTAGGAACAATTGAAAAAATGTAAAAAAATGCCCTCAAAATACTTTGATCTTTCCTCTTAATAATAACAAACATTTAGATGATAAAATTTTGTTTTCGTCAAGTTTGGCGTCTTTTTCATCATGCTATGCTCTTTTTTTAGCAATCTTGTGGAGGTACCTACCTAAATTGTTTTTACTTTATAAAAAAATCTAGGCCCTAGTCAAAAAGCACTGGAACAAACCAGATTTTATTTAAACTAAATAAATGTGAAATTAAGGATTGTAGTTTCTTGAACAGTATATCACTGAGATAGAAACATCAAGACATTTTTACTTACCAAAAAACATATTCATATTTCAAGCAAATATGAATTTTCCAACTTTTGCTTGTTTAAATTTAAAATATCTTTTACAAAGGAATATTCAACACACACACAAAAAACATGTATTAAATTTTTCAACCTTTAAATAAAAAGATGATACCAAATAAATCAAAAGAAAAAATATTTAGCAACAGCAATAAAAGTTAATAACAACAACAACATGAGATGAAGATTAATTTTATATACTTTTTGGACAAAAGTAGATTTTACAAATACACAAATCACATAAATAGATGGTATCTATATTTTTCATCACTATACCTTAACAATCTGGATGGAAAATTGTGGAATATTGAAACTTAATGAGTTTAAATAAACACATATTTGCATGTTTATTTACATTTTCATTTTACACCAAGGAGTTCATCAAACACAGGCACTAATTATGATAGGCTAAGAATTGAAACATAATATAAGAATAGTTGCACAGATTCATCAATTGATAATAAAAAATGTTTTAGATCTGCATTTGCCAATTAATACAAAATTTCTTTTTTGCGTAGATAAAATGATTTTTCTACTTGGTCATTCTTGCTTATTATGTCACAGAAATAATATATATATATATATATATATATATATATATATATATATATATATATATATATATATATATATATATATATGAAAATTATTGATTTTTAGAATGAATCATGATGCAAGAAACCCTGGATGACCATAATCCATCAATCTCTATTGGTGGTAGACCTGACAGTAACCTATGCTTTTACAGATGACATTGACCTCATAGCAAGTAGTAACAGTGAGCTGCAAGACTTGACCAACAAACTTGTTGAAAGAGCAGGAGTGTATGGAATGGAGGTCAGCTCCAAGAAATTCAAAGTAATGGTGAACAGCACAAACAGTAACACCTGTGTCAACATTACTATGAATGGGAATTCACTGGAGGAAGTATCCAGTTTTAAATACTTAGGAGCAATCTTGTCTAAAGATGGTACCTGCAGCTTGGAAATCCATACAAGGAATGCCACAACAATGGCAGCAATGCCCAAATTGGTATCCAAACGAAGTACAGAGTGTACAAATGAATGGTAGTCTCCATTCTCCTATATAAATTTGAAATTTGGACATTGTTGGCAGAAACAGGGAGAAGGATCCAAGCATTCGAGAACAAATGCATGAGAAAACTATGTGACATCGATTGGGAACATAAAACCAATGAGTTTGCATTGGGGAAAAAAAAAAAAAAAAAAAAAGTTGAAAGTTTTTGTGGGCCACCAGGAACCTCTTCTTGCCACTGTCAAACGGAGAAAAATGGTGTGGTTTGGACACATTACAAGGCACGACAGCCTGTGCAAGACCATCATGCAAGGCACCGTTGAAGGTGGATGTAGGAGAGGACTCCAACGCAAAAACTGGTTAGACTATGTTAAACAATGGAGAAGGAGGACTATACCAGAATTGCTGATGTCTGCCGTTGATAGACCATTGTGGAGGAGACTCAATATGGCTTTTGTATCCGGAACCCCACTACGATTACAAAAGTCAGGGGGATGATTATATATATCAGAATTATCTATATATCATATATAAGAATATTCATTAAATTTACTATGTCAGTTTTTCGTTTTTTTATTGTTTTATTGATAGTAATTACTGATTTTATTTTTTTTTTTAATTTCAAGCAAAGCAGTAATGCCACTAAGACTCAACAGGTTACTGGGAGTGAAAGAGAATGAAGAAGGATTTAGTGAGGAGAAGAACATATTTCAGGAAGACATTGATGTTGCATTTAAATTTTTGAAGATTGTAGGTGGCTGGGAAGCAAGAATTCGGAGTTCCACAAGTGCAAGAAAAGAAACTATTACTAATAGTTTCTTTTTTTTTTTTTTTTAATAGAAATTATGTTTACATCTCGCTAATTCAATAGTAAAATGATGACACCTAGTTGGCAATTGATTATCAACTGATTAATCAGTGCAACAATAATTTCAAGAGATGATTTATATATGTGGAAGAGACAGAAATGATATGAATCTTACATGCTAGCTTTGATAGTTCAATTGGTTTCATTCTCCAAATTTTTTTAAGAATAATCAAAAAGAATTTTAAAGAATACTCAATACACCAGCTAAAACTATGGAGGTTAATGTCACAATTTTGTCAATTAAAAAGGTGATTAACTCTTTGGTGGGGGTCAATATAAAAAAAAATTAAGCCAGTTAATATTCTCAATGGCATTGTGCAAAATGATCTGGTATATAAATATTCCTCTAATGTTTTAGTTCAAAATACAATTTTAGGCTTATACCTGCCATACAAGGTGACCCCCTTCAACACAGTAGAAAATATAACAGCCTACTTTATACTAACTCATTTATTGTAAACAAACCTGTTTGGAAAACTTGCTGAACAGAGAGTTTATAATAAAATGGTAAAAATCCTGCATAATTACATAAATCCTGCATGACATACCATTCCGTTTACCCCATACACAAGAATGCCAACCAGTTTGCTGAATAATAATCATTATGTGTAAACAGTATTAAATGAAAACTAAATCTATTAAAATATTACCTGATGATAGTTGACACAGCACATCATATTGTTATGATTTCAGACTACTATTATTCTTCTATCTACACACTATTGTATAATACCGTAATTTTCTGGCTTGGTACCTGTATTGATTGTTTATGGAGCCTCAGCTTTTGGGAACAATAGAGTGTTCATTTATTCATATTGCATTTTTATAATCTTCATGCTAAGCAAGCTAAATTAGAAGAAATATTTATGGTGGCCTGCTGCAGTTACAGTAAGTAATATACAGTCAGTATTAGATAGGCTGTTACACTTGTCTACCTGTCTGTGGTAATGACTAATGTTTTATACCCGACATACAAGTCAATATTTAGCATTGGAAGGAAGTTTTCTCCTTGTTTAAAACACTGATTTATAATCAGCAGTTTATAACAATTATGTTTTTAAATTCTTTGAGAAAATGCAATGAAATTATGATCAATATTAAACAGAGTAGAGTCACTTTCAAAGAAACTTTTCATTCACATGTGATTACATAAAAATAGGAACTGATAAAAATTCCAAATACAGCTGAAATCACCAAGACACTCAATATAGAATTTTGTAAATTTTTTTTTTTTTTTAACATTTATCACTTCAGTAAGATTGGAGGGTTCTCCATAACAAAGAACGATTATTGGATGTTGTTAGATAAACTGGGTACAAATATTTCAAGTACATAGTTACCATTATCAAATCCTTCAAAACTATTTAGTACTGTGGCCAAAAAAAAAAATTAATCATTTAAAAGATCAAAAAAGGTTTCTATTTATAAAAACTAAAAGAAAATTTTTATAAACATTACTAATATAATAATGTGAGGAATCATTATTTAATACTCTAGAAACTGAAGTAAACCAGTTAAAAAAGAATATTTTGTTTACTATGACAAAAGATGGATACTAGATGACTAATCAATGGAAACCAATTGGTCATTTGCAGATTTCATGAGTTTATTTTAGTCGGAGGTAAGCTAAAACCTCATATCTGTTCTTTTCTGATTTAGAATAAGGACATAAATAGGGGAGCATTTGAAGGATGTGAACTCAGTTTATTCCATTATAAACCAATAATTATCCTATTATTCAGTTTAAAATTCTCATTTGATTTCTCATCCAATTTTTTTTTTTTTAACAAATCAATATTCAATCAACTTTGGATATCATTTCAGTATTTCTGTCTATAACGTACACAAGATTTTTTTTTTTAAGGAGTTGAATTACTCTTCAAAACTTCAGGTGGATAGAGACAATGGGGAAATAATGATTTAAAAAAATATGAGTTACCCAAGAAAGTTTTAGAGATAATATCTAAAGACAATTGTAAACTAATTGGTTTGTAACTTTGATATAAAGAACAATAAATGAGAATAGAAGTTTAGAATAGTAATGGTGGTGTAACTCAAAATGACTGCATAATTATTGACTATCTAAGACACATGTCTAAAAAGGAATGACAAGAATTGATGTATGCTTCCCGGTTTTTGAGTAAATGCTTCACATGAGAAGAGTCTGTCCATTGAATCATTTTCACATTTATACCAAATACATCTTGCCGATACTTGACAAATTCTTTGATGTCTTTTGAAAATATAATATCATCAGCAGTTGAGAAAAGAAACAATTGTGGACACTTGCTGCTCTCCTCTGTTTTCAGATACTCATAGATGTTACTGGCATTCTGCTTAAAAAGGCTGAGAAAGGCTCGGAGGTTGGTCACAAAAAACAAGTACAGGTAAAGGCTAATGGCAATAATATATTTGAAAAAAAAATTTTTGGTCTGCATGCTGACCAGTATTGCTTTTACGGCCTGGTAGGGTCTTGGTTTGCCAGGAGCACTGTCATAGATACAACCTTGTATCTTCAAGTGTCTAAACTGTTCTGTCAGGAGCAGATCACAAATATAGCGGTAGATAATGGAGCCACCATTGCTGAACATGTGGAAGAATATTGGATTATCTTCATAGCTGAAGTCTATTAGAATATTTAATAGTTTCTGGGCATTTTCCTGGCATTTGGCTGGCTTGAAGAACAGTATCCCTGGAGATGCAATGTATGAAATGGTGACACATCTGAAAAAGAAAAAAAAAAAAAAAAAAACTAACAGTAAAACTTAAGGATTATTTTTTATTTTTTATTAAATCTGATATCTAAATATTTTGTCTCAAACAGAAAAGGCATTAAACTATTGAATCTTCTAGAAGCTGTTAATAATTTTCAAAATTTACTCTTAATATCCAACATCAGGCCATAAAAACCAAATCATTTATAATCATTAAATTAGCAAATTCACTCAGTCAGTTATGTGCTATACACGATACATACTTGGGCAATCATGTCTCTTTCAATTAATGACTGACTAGGCAGAAGATTTTTCTTGCAGTAGGCTGCTTATCAAGGCTATAGGACTCAGTCTTTACTATTCATCCCATACCTGGGGGGGGGGGAGAAGAGATGGATTTATACATTTCCCAATGATATTTGTGTTTAAGTGAATGTAACAGACTTGACTGGAATTCAAACTCAGCTCTCTATTTCTCTAATATTCATTGCACCACAATGTATATTCATTACTTAAATTAAATAAATTTCAACTTTCAGGGTGCCTTTCCTCTACCAAACTAGCAACAGACTTTAATAAGAAAACCAATTATATAAAGTTGCAAAATGTGTCATTTGCTACAACTTAATTATAAAATAAAAATGCATGGCAAGTGTTGTAGGTGGAGGAGATGCCATATTGGTTGAATTTAGAACTTTTCAGTACTTCCTCATGATAAAATTCTAACTGGTTCCAAAAACTACAAAATCATTTTTTAAAATGACAAATTTAGATATTCTGTAACATTTTTTTTTCCATACTGTGCATTTTCAAATTTAAAACAGAAAGAAATTTTTTAAAAAGACACCTGCACATTTTTCTGCAGTCAAAAAGAAATAAGATTAAATGTGATCTCTCAAGAACCTTGCAGATAAAAATGCATGCAGTTTGATAGGAAGGTTGATAAATAAAATAATGAAATTGATACACTAGTTACATTATACAAATATATATTTTATGAATTCACAAACAAAATATCAGTAGAAGAAACCAAATTCCATAATACATGGGAAACACCAGGAAAAAAGATTTAAACACAGTCTAACACAAAGATAGGACAGAAACTGGTTAGAAAGAAGTTTTGTGTTTATGACAGATTTATTCTATTGCAAACACTTCAGTGGCCAAGATTTTGCTAGTCATCTAGTAAAGAGAATTCTATGACCAAAGTTACAATTTATCTTTTCTACTAATTTAAATAGTTCTCTTTCAATCTTTTATATTAGTTTTCAGCAACAGCATTTACCTTAAACAAGATGAATTAAAAATGGGATATAAAAGGAAATAGAAACATAATAGAAGAAACCTGTTTGAATCTTATATTTAATATAAAATCCTTTTTTGTTCACATTCAAAATGAAAAAAATTACGAAATAATATCTTCAGAATTTTATTGATTCAATATCATTGAACTTTTGATACAAAACCTTGAAATAGCTAATGGCAAAAAAAAAAAAAAAAAAAAAAAAAAAAGAAAAATTGTAACTTTTTTTTTTTTTTAAGCATTTCACCCCAAGCAAGGCGGGAAGCCACTAGGACGCAAGGGGTTACAGAAAATTTAGAGCAAGATCAGATAGGAGTGATAGAAGAAAGGATGAGGGTAGTGGATAGATCAAGGCAACTGGAGATGTCGATTACATGAAAATTTTACATGTAGCAATTTCTACAAAATACCTAAGAAACAGATGTACACAAGGAATAGACAATTTTCAGCATACTCAAATTTATGAATGCAAGTTTGAATAAATTAATTCACAAATACAAAAATTTCAATTTTAATGTTAGAAATATGAGACAAAATATTATAAAGATTACTAATGCTCAAGGATGTTTTCAATCTTGTAGACTTTCATACACACTACATATTTATTCTGAGTAATGATAGACAACAAAAATCATAGTACAATATACATGGCACACACATTAGTTTATTAAAAGGGTTAAAGATACAGTTAAATGTAGCGAACAAATATATAGTGTACTTATATGCAAAATATTAAAATCAACTTATGAGAAAAATAGTTTCTGTTAATACCAATCAAGGTTATCTAAGTACCACACAGCTTGTGTCAGACTAACTTACAATTATTGAGAGAATTTGTAACAATGGACTTGTTAGTAATATCCAATAGTTAACTAACAATATAGTTAACACTATAAAATAGCTACAGATAACTTCATTTGGCTCCATAATTATTCAATAGAATCTAGAATAATTTGAAACATAATTGTTACCACCTACTCAATAACTGTTAGGATAATACAGTAGACTTTGCTACCCATAATGCACCATTGACCAGCATATATAAATAGTCAAGCCAAAACACAAAACTCATGGTCTGAAGATTGTGTTCAAGCATGAAACTATCACTGCTTGTGTTGACTTCAGTGTCCTCTTTTATCACACACACATTATATTATATATATATATATATATATATATATATACACACACACACACACACACTATTGCTATCTTGGTTTTTGCTTACAAAGTTTAAGAATTTTTCTAGCTTTGATCAAGTCTTGAAACAATATAAAGTTGTTCAAAATAGTTTTCATACTATAGATTAAAACTTTAAAAGAATGGAAACTGAAAATTCAAATACTTAAAACAATTTTTCAAATTCTTTTTAACAGTTATTAAATTTTATTAATTTTTTTCAAATAAGAATACAGAAATTTTGAAAGGCTAATTTTTTTTTTAGATTAATTCCCATCCTGCCCTAATGCTTCTTAAACACATTTTAGCAAACTTGAACCCACATACCTGGGAAAAAAATAGTGTCAAAATGACAGTTTCCCCATTGACACCACTATTATTGTAACTCCATTCACTTCTTGGCAATATTTGTTTTAAAAATGAATGATTAGAATTGTAATAAAACCTAAACATATGAAAGTGAATTTAAACATTTTTTTTTGTTCTTGAGAATTTACAAAAAAATATGAAACACTATTTAATAGATTATTTACAAGAATAATTTTATATTTACATTCCAAAAACTAATACAACACAATATCATTTATCGATTTATAATGAAATAAAATTTTTTATTCATTTATAAACATTTTCTAAATTCTTAAAATATGAACCAACTATAAGGAAATCCTTATTTACTATTTTATAAAGTTTAAATCAATTAGGAATTAGCTGATGTTTTGCCAACCATTCCAATAAACAATAAATAAATATTGTTTTTTATTTTTTTTTATCAGTCCCCCCCCCTAAAAAAAAACAAAAAAAAACGTATAAATTCATTTTCATATGTTTAGGTTTTATTGAAATTCTAATTTTCACTTTTTAAACAATAAACATTGTTGTGTTGTGAACGTAGATAAAATAATTGCGGTGTCAAAGGAAAAACCATCCTTTTGATAACCTGTTTTTTGCAGGCACGAAGGTCCAAGTTTGAAGTTGTCATTTTTTTTTTTTTTTAATAGCTGAGAGAAAAAGCGCAATACACAAGAAATACTCAGGGAATGAACTTTGAAGTAGAATGATAAATAAAATTTTGAATAGACATTTTTTTTCCAGGTAAATCATATTTAATGTTTAAAAATTTGGAGGATTATCATTTTAATTAAAAAAAAAGAAATAACTTTTCTTTTTCTTTAGAAAAACCTAAGTCATTATATTATTGCTAGTAGTAATATTATTCACATCATGTTCTCCTACTGTTTTTCACAAAATATCTCTCCAGCTTGTTGAACAACAGAGTACACAGAGCCTTTGACCGACTGGTTACATGTACTTCAGTGAGAAGTGACATGCAACAAAGTGCATTTGAACCTTTCATCATGGGATGGGGATTGGCAAAAAGATTGGCCATTTCTGTAAGCCACATGACATAGCTCATAAATACACAGCAAGTGGGTAAAGCAGGCAAATGTGAATTTATAAGGCCATAGATAAGGAAGGAGAAAAAAAATAAAATAACAAAAACAAATATTTTAGAGAAATTAAAGAGAACTGACAACGTTTTTCTTTTTTTTTTTTTTTTTTAATTTTTGTATTGCTTAAATTTGCTTTTACTTTTGTAAAACCAATCCTCTCTGCCCAGACATTTTATTTTTATATATTTCCACACACACACACACACGCCCACACATTTTTATTTTTACATGTCTCTACACACACACACATTTTTATTTTTACATATTTCTTTCCACACACACACAGAGAGGGTAGTGCTGAAAACTTCTTGGCCCAATCAAGAAGGGAATTAAAAAAAAAAAAAAAAAAAAAAAAAAAAAAAAAAAATCTTATGTTTGGCCATTTGGTTAGTGGACTGGACAGAGAACTTAGTGCTCCTTGTAGATATGTATTTTAATAATAAAAATGAATAAACCAAGTCTTAATAATATCAATTATGAACATGGCCACAATGTGCTGACCATGTTTGGGAATTAAAATATTTCTATTGCTATATTAAAAAAAAAAAAAAATCCTTGATAATGGCTAATAGATTAGTTGAAAGCCTTTCAAGATCCTAAGATCATTTGAACAGTTCTTACACACTATGACCTAAAAATAAATCTTTTGAACAAATACAAGAAAAATATAAAAGCTTAATTGCATTGCCTTGTTAGTCATCTACAATGAAACTTGTATAAAAGAGGGATTGCTGTTCAAATACACAATGTACACACACACGCACACACACAGGACTCAGTTGCAAGCTGTGGAAAATTCCAGTTTATGAAGAGATAATTTCTTAAAATGGAGAATATTAAATTGCCATTTTATCTTGGCAATAAAAAGCAAAAATGATAAAAAGAAATACAAGAATATTTAATATGAAAGAGAAAGTGGTATCTAAATAGAGAGGGAAAAAAACCCAACATGCAAGGAAGCGAATTAATAACATTAATCTGAAGCAGAACTAAAAACTGCTAATATTATTAGAGAAAGACTTAAAGGATATAATAGTAGTTTTTCCAATGAAAATTTCCCCCTTTTGTCTGACT